TCTTCAGGACACTGAAAATCAATCAGGTTCTTAAAAGAACAACTTATAAAGAAAAAAAATAAAAGAATCACACCTGCAAAATCAGGATGGAAAGTAACTTTACAGGGTAATAAAAAGATTTAAAACACAGAGGATTCCCCTCTGGCTCAGCTTCACAGTTACAAAAACAGGAATAAAATGACATCTGTAGCATAGGAAAATTCACAAGCTAAAACAAAAGATAACCTAACACATTTCCTTGCCTTACTTACAATTGGTATATTCCAGGTATATTTTCAGGAAATGTTGTACCTGCTAGGCTTCTCTCTCTGTCCAGAGAGGGAACAACAAAGAGAGAGCACAAACAAAACCTTCCCCTCCCCCCAGATTTGAAAGTATCTTCTTTCCTCATTGGTCCTTCTGGTCAGGTGCCAACTAGCTTATTTGACCTACTTAACCCCTTACAGGTAAGGCAATACAGTACAGCTGCCAAGGAGGGATTTTATGCTACCCGTCTCTCTATATTCATGACAGCTTCTGAGAATACAGGTACTTCCCACTTATGTGCCAACTCGTGGTTCACTAGACAATACCAATGTTCATTTTCGTTAACCTGTAAAAAACGGTCACTCACCTTTGTAACTGTTGTTCTTTGAGATGTGTTGCTCATATCTATTCCAATTAGGTGTGCGCGCGCCGCATGCACGATCGTCGGAGAATTTTTACCCTAGCAACACCTGGTGGGTCGGCTGTGGAGCTCCCTGGAGTGGCGCCTTCGTGGCACTGGATATATACCCCAGCCGACCCAGCGCCCCCTCAGTTCCTTCTTGCGGCTACTCTGACAGTGGGGAAGGAGGGCGGGTTTGGAATGGATATGAGCAACACATCTCGAAGAACAACAGTTACAAAGGTGAGTAACCGTTTTTTCTTCTTCAAGTGCTTGCTTATATCGATTCCAATTAGGTGACTCCCAAGCCTTACCTAGGCGGTGGGGTCGGAGTGAGACATCGCTGAGTGCAGAACCACTGAGCCAAATGCAGCAGCATCTCTAGACTGCTGTACAAACGCGTAGTGAGCGGCAAAGGTATGAACGGATGACCAAACCGCCGCTCTACCAATCTC